ATAAAGCAATTTCAACAACGGTCCGGAAACCGGAAGTAGTCGAAATAATGTCCGATATTTTGGAAAAAAAAATCAAAAAATTGGTGTTTTGGGGAAAAACTCGATTTCTCCGTCCAATATCAATGTTTCGTTGAGTGGCCCGAGGAATGGACTGTCGTATGATGCCCAATTTATACGGATACTATGACCAAGCAGCAAAACATGACAAGCTGAAAATCAAGTATATTCTGATTTTGGGCGTTTTTGGATGACTGTATCTCGAAATCTTAACCGCATCTTTTTTTTTAACTTTCTCTATCGAGAGTCCATTCGATAGTCTTGTGAATTATGCCATCCAATAAGACTTTGAAATGTCTGGAATACGATAAAAAAAAAAAGGGACTGAAAATCGAAAAAAGTCGAAAAATCGTGAAATTTTGCAAAATGCTCTATTACTTTATTATTTCAACAAATTTTGCAAAATGCTCTATTACTTTATTATTTAAAAAAGATTTTACAAAAAGATTACAGATTCGGATAGCTGACTTAATTACGATTCTAACGATGTATAATATGTATTGAGTTACTGAAATTTAATTTTCGATATTTTGACATTTTTGCATTTTTGGCACCTTTGAACATAGGATTTCTCAGGGTCATTTTATCTGATCAGATAATGTAATATATCATTACAGAGCCCTGCCGCTATTTAATTGCCTAAACTGGTTATTAAAACTATTCCGACAATAATCTCCATACCGGAAGTATTCAAAAAATGAAAAAAAAAAAGGTTAAAAAATTGTCGCTCTTGCGAAAAGCTGGATTTCACGGTCAGATATTACCGAACCAAAAGAAGTAAAGTGTCTTTGCATAGCCCCATTAATGGACTATTATATGACATCTCAATGGTACGATTTCGATGGTTAGAAAATAAATTGTGGTACGCCGAAAATCTAGTATTTTCCGTTTTTGGAGCCTTTTTAGACGTCTTTTTCTCGAAAACGACAACTCCGATTTTTCTGAAACTTTTTTAACGCAGAGTCCTATGGGTGGGCTATGGCGTGAGTCCAACAATAAAAGCATTGAAATAACATAAGTTGTCCAAAAAGAGCCTCAATCTTGGAAAAAAGTTGAAAAATCCATAGATTACTGAAAATGATCTTCTAATTTTCTTTCTTTGGAAAACAGCTGAATGGATTATTCTGAAACTTCTTGTACAGAAGGTAAGGTAACCAAACAACTTGTTAAAGCTATCCCGACAATGATCCAAAAAACGGAAGTAGTCGAAAAAATTTCGGATATTTTGAGAAAAAAAACGTAAAAATTAAAAAAATGGAGATCTTGCGAAAAAAGTGATTACTACGCCAGATTTCACCGAATCAAAACAACTAAAATGTCATTGGATAGTTCGAACAATGGACTATCTTATGAGATCTAAATGGTAAAAATTCGCGGGTTAGGCAATATATAATGGAACGCTGAAAATCGATTATTTTCCTTTTTGGAGCCTATTCAGACGCTTTTATTTCGAAAACTTCTCTTATTTCCTTTCTTAAACTACTGTCCTAACGGTGGTCTATGGTGTGAATCCAAATTTAAAAGCCTCAATATAGTATAAATGGTCCAAAAAGGGCCACAATCTTTGAAAAGAAGTCGAAAAATCGTTATATCTGTAAATCTGCTTCTAATGGTATAAGGGGGGTAAAACTGTCCAATGGATCTTTCTGAAACTTCTGGTACAGGAAATTAAGTTCCCATACCACTTGTTAAATCTATCCCGATAATGATCCGTAAACAGGAAGTAGTCAAATAAATATTCGATATTTAAAAAAAAAAAGACAGTAAAAAAAACTGGTGCTCTTGCAACAATCGGGATTTCACCGTCGGGTTACCGGATCAAAACATCTAAAGTATCGTTTGGTAGCTCGATAAATGGGCTATTGTATGACACACTTCCTGTCTGATTCCTGAAAGCCGGTTCAGTGCTGCTTGCAGGTCTAGTTATTATTATTTTTTATTTTGCCATAGCCTATTTCTCAGTGCCTGTAACAGATACCGATATGGGACCTAATTTTCTATAGGGAAACCATGTAGTGGCTACTTGATAAACTATTTTTGAAACTTCTGCGCAGACCGGAAGTGGCCGAATTTCGTGCGGTGCATAAAAATTAAAAAACGGTCGTAACTTCGTCAATTCTGTACCTTTTTTCATACAAATGACATTTTCAGAAACCCTGGGTCTTTTCTCGGATGATAGCAGTTGAACATTTTGAAATTTCGAAACTTCGTCGCTGACTTCTAGCGTTCGAAAAATGAAAAATGTTGTTTAAGAGACAATTTTTGTTATTTTTCAAAATTTTCAAATTTGACCTACATTTTTGGGTACTTGAAGGCAATCCGATTCCAGTAATATAACTTTCATTCAGAGTTATCACCCTTTATTTTTCGATTTTTTTCGAATTTTCTGCCCATTTTGTGAGCCCGAGTTTCGTTTTACGGCCGAATCGACGATTCTGAAACTTCTGGAACATGAAGTTATTGTCCAAATCCAACTGATAAAGCTATTTCGACAAGGATCCTTAAACCGGAAGTGGTCGAAAAATTGTCCGATATTTTGAAGAAAACGCAAAAAATGGGTGCTTTTGGGAAAAACGGGATTTCTCCGTCCAATTTCAACGGATTAAACAAATTATGTATCGTTGGATAGCACGATGATTGGACTGTCGTATGATACCAAATTTATAAGGATACTATGACCAGGCAGCAAACTATGGCACGCTGAAAATCAAGTATTTTGTGATTTGGAGCGTTTTTGGACGCCTTTATCTCGAAAACTTCTCCAAGGATTTTTCTTAAACTTTCTCTATCGAGAGTCCTTTCGGTAGTCTTGTGCATGGAACCATCCAGTAAGAATTTGAAACGTGATAGGATATAAAATGGACTGAAAATTGAAAAAAGTCGAAAAATCGTGAAATTTTGGAAAATTCTCTATTATTTGTTTATTTTAACCAATTTTCAAAAAAAAGTTATAAATTGAAAAACCTGACCTAATAGCGATTCTAACCATGTATAATATGTAGTCAGTTACTGAAATTTAATTTTCGATAATTTGACATTTTTGCATTTTTGGCAATTCTGAACATAGGATTTCTCAGGGGGATTTTATCTGATCGGTTAATTTAGTATATCATTATAAAGCCCTGTGTCCATTCAAGTTCCAAAACCGGATGTTAAAACTACCCGACAATGATTCGTATACCGGAAGTAGTTTTAAAAAAAACTTTTTTCAAAGATTGTGGCCCTTTTTGGACCATTTATACTATTCTGAAGTTTTTGAATTTGGATTCACACCCTAGACCACCGTTAGGACTCTAAGTAACAGAAGTTTAAGAAAGGAAATAAGAGAAGTTTACAGGATGAAAGCATCTGAATAGCCCCCAAAAATGAAAATATTTTTCTTTGTCTGGAAAACAGCTTAATGGATTTTTCTGAAACTTCTTGTACATAAGGTTAGGTAACCAAACAACTTGTTAAAACTATCCCGACAATGATCCAAAAACCGGAAGTAGTCGAAAAAAATATCCGATATTTTGAGAAAAAAAATCATAAAAATCAAAATGAGCTATTCACAACCCATTCAGGCTTTTAATATTTTAAAATATTTCTTCCTAACTTTCATAAACTTGTAGCATTAATCCATACGAAGAGAATCTATCTCAAAATTAGTTTGTAATATGGGCAGTTGCCGAGAAATGGTGAATTTTGTATGTGTTACGTTTTACGCTATTTCGCCTGTAAAAGAGTCGATTATTTTTGGATTTTCATAAAAGTGACACCATTTGATGCGTAATGTCAATTTTAACTAGATCAAATCAATTTAACATTTTCAATGTCACCGGAAATGATGTAATTTGGGCAAAAATTGTATATATAGCCTTCAAAACCAGTAATTTATTCAAATGAGTCTTATTTGTTATTTGTTTAAAATTTTGATATTTGATTCAAATCAACTAATAGAATGAACCCATACGATCATATATTCAAATGAGTCTTATTTGTTTAAAATTGTGATATTTGATTCAAATCAACTAATAGAATGAACCCATGCGGTCATATAGATATCACAAATTGGTTTCTACCTTGTTCAATTGCAGAGAAATAGACGATTTTCAACAGGTAACTTTTCAAGATGGTGCCTAACTTTTACGGTTGCAGAGAAATAGACGATTTTCTACAAATCACTTTTCAAGGTTTTGGTTTTGGGTCTATAAAAGTGTCAATTATTATTCGATTTTCACCATGTGATGCCTGATGCCATTTATGATTTCATGGAACTAATTTAACATTTTCATTATTACCAGAAGTAATGTCGTTTTGGAAAAAACTGTATTTTTAGCCTTCAAAACAAATATTTTTTGAAGTGGGTTATATTTATTATTCGTTTAACATTATGATATTTGATTCCGATGGAGATATAGATTGGATCAATACGATCATATAGATGTCCAAAAATTGCTTCTACCATCTTTCTTCGTCGAGAAATAACCAATTTTGACAGGATCACTTTTTAAGACTTTTTTCACATTTTAAGTTCCCATTAGATAGTCACCTAACTTAGTAGTAAGTTAGTAATAAATTTTGCCAGGATCACTTTTTTGACATATCTAACGCATGGTAACAAATGTATAAATTGAATTGATATTGCTGGATCTCGTTGATTCTGTGTCCATTTCATAACAAGTGTGCAATGCTTAGGTGGAAATCTGTTTAACGGTTTCATTGGTACCGAATGCGACATAAGTTCAAGGGTAAAGAGGCACCGAAAGTGACAAAAATTCAAGGGTAACGTGGCACCGGTGAAACCCGTCATTACTGCATCGCAGTTCTAGTTATCATTATTATTATTTTTTAATTTTTTTTTGAAAGCCCAATGAACTTGCCATCCTCATAATTAAACAAGGTATTTATTAAAAGTAAAGATTTGAATATATTTTCAGTTTGAAAGAAAGTGTTTAGAATAATTCAACCTGTGTAGCGGCTATTACAAATTATTGCTTGAACTTCACGTGATAGGTCATATGACAGGCTGTTCCATCTAGCGGAGTCATTTGCACGTAAAGGTACTGTAGATTGAGGGGTGTTACTGGCTGATTGTATAAGTGGAGTAGGTACTAGGTATAGTATTAAGGGCTATAACAGACAAAGGTAAACATTATTGTGATATTTCCTTGTTTCAATTTTAACTTCAACACATAAATTCATAAACGGAATTGTCATGAGGGTTTTAAAATTTCATCAAGACAAATTGTTCATCTCTACTTCTCTAGTTAAAAGCTAAATTGATTTGTGCCGTGGTTTAGGCTAGTGAATAAAAAAAAGTCATCTGCCCTGGGCTGGAATTGAATGTGACTGGGTAGGTGTATTGGTATCAATTCAACTCGGACCAGATAAAGTCCGTGTTGAATTACATCAACGACCCTAAGCACCAATTAACCAGCTATTAAAGAAGTGTCCGAGCGAGTAGATGAACCCGTACCTCGCATCTACATGTAGTAGTAGTAAAGAAGGCATTTGTTAATATGTTACTTGCCTGTAAATTATGGCTATGATTAGGCCCTATGACATTGTTAAGTTTGTACTGTTACCGTGATTACTGTGCTTTAAATAACAATATATTTATGTCAGTATTTTATTTTTAAAATGTCGGCTATCTTGAACATCCTGCTGAAAGAAGGTATCTGGAATGGCGTCAAGTCGAGCTAAATATTGGTCCGAGTGGTCTTGTAATATAAAATAATTGGTCCGAGGGGTTATAGACATAACGGCCCAAAAATTTGGTCACAACGGCCAGAAATTTAGTCGAAACAGCCAAACAATTTGGTCATAACGGCTAAAAAAACCCAAAACATTTTTTACATGTAGGAAATGATATTTATTAACAAAAATATTGCGTAATATATAATATAAATACATACATTACATAAACATTAATTTAATACATTAAAAAAACAACATTACATATAGATATTACATTGTATATCTCCTTTACACTCTGGTACATATCCCTAGCAGCATCTCACACTGATACTACCTTCTTTGTACTTGTTCCACGAATTGAAATTTTCAACTTGTCTTTCTGTTTTAATTTTTATCAAATACCTGAGAAGTTTCCCCTCAAACATCAGAGCAGATTGGAGTGGCATAAGTAAATTGGCTGATCTTCTAAAATTTTATTCACTACTTCTTCAAATATACTGAGCGCCATGGAAAATGCATCACTTAGTTTTTCGTATAACAAAATGATCCTGTAAACATATCTTATTTATTTTGCTTCTTATTGTGAACAATATTCAAATGGGAACACATCAATAACAACACATTTGTACACTTATGGATGTTTAATCTTTAATCAACGGTACAAAGTCAGAGGGGTCAAAACCAAAAGTATGACACAGATGTCAGTAGCGCGTGTGTCCTCCACGGGCTCTTACGCACGCTGTGCAGCGATGTCGCATGGAATTAACCAATGGTTGAAAGAAGGCCTGGGGCAAATTGTTCCATTCTTGGACAAGAGCCGCTTCTAAAGCAGCAATGGTGTGCATCCGTGGTCACCGATACAGACAGCGTCCAATCTCATCCCAGACATGTTCTATCGGTGCCATGTCCGGAGACATGGCTGGCCAGTCCAAGACATTGATGTTGTTAGCAGCCAGGTAGTCCATACTAAAACGGGCGGTATGCGGACGTGCATTATCCTGTTGGAAGTGCTGAAATTTTGGGTGTGCTCGAAACATCGGAACAACAATTGGTTGCAAGACATCATTACAGTAGGCTACAGCAGTAACGCGACCCCTGCAAATGTGTAGGGCGGTCCGGTGATGAAATGTGAAGCCTCCCCACACCATTACACTTCCCCCACCCCATGGATTTGTTTTGATGACGCAGCAGTCTGCAATACGTACCCCAAGACATTTCCACACACGTTGACGGCCATCAGCGTGATAAAGATGAAAGCGATTCTCATCACTGAAGAACACATTTTGCCAGTCTACTCTTCTCCATGTCTGGTGTCCTTGAGCCCATATCAAACGACGCTGATGGTGATGATCCCTGAGGATAGCTCCAACATAAGGTCGTCTTACATGGAGTCCTACTTCTCTTAGACGACGTCTTACGGTGTTGGCACTTACTGGTCCTTGTCTTCCGACGACTGCTGCACCTGTTCGAGTCGCTGGGCGGAATCTGTCACGCAGATGAGTGACCCAGATGTAGCGGTCTTGAGTCTGGGTTGTAACGCATTGTGGACCAGGACGTTGACAGTCACATGTTGATCCAGTAACTCGAACACGTTCTACCAACCTTACAATAGTGGACTGATGACAATTGAAGTGTCTGGCAATAGCACGTGTAGACATGCCAGCCCTGGACATTCCCATGGCTTCATTCCGTTGATTTTCAGTAAGTCTTGGCATCTCTAGCTCAATTCCTTCACACGTCCAACAACAAATTACGACAGATTGATGTTTCACAGTTCATGTACTGCACATTAAGTTGAAAACATGCTTTTAAAGGGCTCACACACAATGCTGCACGTGAATATTGGGTTTTTCATGTGCATCTTGTGCAATTTTTTTTTTGCACCCAGGCCGATATTTTTTGCGTTTGGGAGCATTGTGTGAAACAATAGTTCATAGTATTGCATCATACATACAAAACCACCTAGTAATAAAATTTTTGGGAAAAAAAAGTGATGCTTTTTCCATGGCGCTCAGTATATTACCCTGGCTGGTCTGAATGGTTTGGAGATGGCCATGTCTTTTACCTTTATTTGATAAAAAATAAATGGTTAATTTTTCATATTACTTAATCAGATCAGAGGGTGTGAAGTACCTAATTAAGGATTATCCAATCAGTTGATTAATTAGTACTATTCTCTTTCCTTTGAATTACAGCATGTTATTTGCCGGTTGGCTTAGGTGGTTATGGGCTATTTTTCCACTGACAAATTCATCACGACACATGGTTTGTATACAGAGGCGTTGCCGTGAAACCCCTAATCCTAACCCATTTTTAAAACCCCTAAAAAATATAAACAAACACCATGTGGCCATGCTGTCTACCAAGACACCGCGTTCAAAAGCATTATGGTTACGTTGCTGGCTGAGCGGGCGATAAATATTTGGTTTAAGTGGCAGAAAAAAATTAACAAAATATTTCTGACATGCTAATTAGACACAATTTTATGGAACACAGGTACTTTTCACTTCACACATGTTTCCAGGATGATTATCTTTGTGTTTTATTTTAGCAGTATAAACCATATTGGGATATGTACAGGTTTTATACAGATAGAATCTTAACTAATCCTAATAATTGTTGTAAATAAATAGGAGTTTGGGCCTACTATGTAAATTTTTGGGGGGTCCAAGTATATTCAGACCCCCCCCTCCCCCGAAAAACAATTGGGGGGGGGTCGGACCCCCCCCCCCCATGTGTGACGCCCATGTTTGTATAACAGTAGCACCACATATGTATATATGTGCTTTAAATTGACTTTTTAATATACAAATACAAGGACCTTTTATTTTGTGTGTTAACCAATTTTAAGGAGACTTTTGATATACACGGACGTTTGTATTGTATGTTTTTACCAATTTTCAACCAATTAAGTGAAAATAATGTATTGGACGTTAAATCTTTAATAAATAACAACAACAAACAACAACAATATTTGCTCAGATATATTGTTTTTCATTAAATTAAAAAAGTTTGGCCGTTAGACCCAATTTTTTTGGCCGTTATGACCAAACTGTTTGGCCATTATGACTAAAGTAGGGCCGTTTTGACCAAACCTGTTTTTGGCCGTTATGGCATAGGGCCGTTATGACTACATCCCGGTCCGAGTGGTCTTTGGTCCGAGTTGTCTGGATACCAATACACCTACCCAGGTCTCAATCAATTCCAGCCCAGGTCCAGATGATATTTTTTATTCACCAATTCTGGATGAAACTAAATATTTTAAAACTGAACGATGATAAAACGCAAGTGATACGACATTTTAAACCTACAAATGGGATATGATGTTTAAGTTAACTCTGTGAAAATTGGACATGTCGCAATCACTTTGTTGGGTGCGGGTCAGTTCATCCCACAACCGTTTCACTTCAGGCTGTTTCATCCCAACCTATTCTTTTATCGGGCTGTTTCATCCCCCTTGTTATTATAATAGCAGTCAATTACTGAGTTGTACTTATTGTTAAATAAACTGTTAAACACTTACTTATTGTTAAATAAACAATGTACCGGTATGGAATAAAAAAGTTTTACTCATCGATTTTTGTTGACCGATCCCAACCGAGATTAGTTCACCGCTGTATATTAGTATTGTTTGTTACTTGGCGTTATGATTTTAGATTTTATGTCAGTTCACCGATGTTTTTGTAGTAAATTATTCTTATTTAATTGCCGTTATGATTTTAGATTAGTTCACCGATGTTTTTGTAACAAAGTAAAGGCCACTCGTATTGTTTGTTAGTTTATGATGTCTAACATCATTTGTAACATGGACGGGAAATCTTCGTTTGTTCTTTTTGTTGAATAAGCAGATTGTTTTCCCTCTAGCTGATTGGTGGAGCCTAAAGGAGCTAAATTACTAATATTTGGGACCTAGAAATTGACCCAAATGGGTCGCAACACATATAATAATGTAATCTGATTGTTAGTGCTCCTACGGTTAGGACTTTTTGTTATTCGAATAGCCGTAGCTATTAACCGGTTAGTAACCGTTAACCGTATTGTATCAATTTTAAACATAAAACAGAGCTTGTCAGGAGCTACGAGTCATTACTCGTGCGCACGCTATACTCGCGTTATAAAAGGCATTACACGCGCAAAAAATTCAGGAATTTTTTCAGACATGTACAATTCTTTAATGAAAATTTAAACTATATAAGGCCGTAGCCTGGTTAACTTGGTTCATTTGAAACATTTTTTTAATTCAATATAACGATAATATACAAAACAATACTCAATTTCCCTTCGTACGTGACAGACGGCGATAATATTACGATTACACAATGTTACTAAGAATAGAATAAAGTAAATTAGAAGGCGTCTATTGATTGGACAATAAAGAAATAATTCCTCGCTTGCAAGTAGAATTTTTATGATTGGTTAATTTAACTGAAAACCAAAGTAGAATTCAT